TCTATCACACCTTACTGGTGACCGATGCTGCCGTTCTGAGCTTTCACCCGGTTGCCCCGACGCCGGCTTCCTGCCCACAGCACCGCCCTGCAGCTTCCTCAGCTGTGATCTGGCTGTGCCAGGTGGGGCGCCGTCCGGGCCTCAGGGGTGGGGTCCTCCGCCCTTCTCGGGGTGCTCCCGCTTGCACACGTGTCGTCCGCCTGCCTCACGGTGGCTGCTGAGGGTCCCCAGAGCCTCTCTCCAGCACCTGGTCCAACCGCTGCCAGGAGGTTCACGTGCAGAGTCTCGCCCTCAACTTTCCAACCCACTTTCTCATCTGAGGCTCCGCAGCCTTGGGTCTCGTGAGTGCTGATGACACCCTGAGCCTCCTGTCCTTCTGGCTCAGTGTCTGGGCGAGTCCCTCCCCTCCTCTCCGTTCACCACTGCAGGGTGGGTCCCTTCCCCGACGAGTCATTTTCCACAAGTGCGCCACAGCAGGGCTTCCTCCCTTTGGGGAAGTCCCGGGACTGGATGGATCTGTGGTCCCGACGCTGCCTATGGGGCTCAGCCCCTCCTTCACATCTTGGGCAGATCGCCAGGAGCCGCTGATGGGGGCCTGCTGCTCCCCACAGTGGAGAGAGTGCCCCTCACCCCCGGGGCTGCTGCTGGAAGTGCGGGAGGGACCCTTACATCGCCCTTTGCCTCCACAGCTAATCCGCTAATCTCTCTCCCTCCCCTTCTCCCCATTCTGTTTTGTTTCGTGGCATGTTTAAAATACAACATACTACGTTTCAGCTAAGGTAGAAAATTTTGGACACCGCAAAATACGTATGGATAACATGAGATTGTTACATAAAATTTTATTTTAGAGAGAGTGCACGCATCTGCAGAGAAAAGGGGGGCAGAGAGACAGGGGGTCAGAGGATGCCAAGCAGGCTCCGTGCTGTCAGAGCAGAGCCCGACGCGGGGCTCGAACCCACGAACTGGGAGCTCGTAACCTGAGCCAAAGTCAAGAGTGGGACGCTCAACCGACTGGAGCACCCAGGAGCCCCCGGATGAGGTTATCTGCATGAAATTCGCGCAGTGAGGTCCTCTGCCTTCGGTCAGGTGACCCGCCAAGACGGCTCCACGGTTCTCACATCAGTGCCAGAAGGATGACACAGCCACTTAGGTCAGCGACTCTCAAACTTCCTCTCTTTGTGCAGCAGCGCGAGTGTCCATAGCGTGGAGCACCTGCAGGCGGAGGGGGTCCTGCGGGCTCCGGGACGTCGTGGGCCCTCCCGCCCCCCCCAGGCTGCCGCCTACTCTCAGGGCTTTGCAGTTCCCGAAGACCATGGGACTCGGGCTCCATCTGGCAAAACACGCGAGCTGCTCACGCTTGCAAACCGCCTCTGGCATCGAGGCCTGAGGGGCATTTCTCCTGGGGTCCTTCGGAAGAGGCCCCGCTGGTGACTGGCCTTTAATGGCAAGTCCGCCCCGTGCGTGGTGGGCGTGACCCACCCGCTTTCATCTTGGTCTCACGCGAGACCGGCGCTTGGAAAGACCTCGATCAATTGAAAAATAATTTGAAATTCAGCCTCTTCAAGTATGTTTGAAATCTGCGGTGACCCTGTCCGCTGCGCCGAGGGCCCCAGGGGTGCAGACGTGGGTCTGTGGGTCTGTGGCCAAGGATCGGGCCACGCAGAGCTGGGTTCTTCTCACTGGCTCTGCTCCGCTGCTGCTTCTCAAACCGTGGTGCACAAGGGAACCAGCCGGGCCCTTGTGACGGTGCAGCTTCCGTTCCGGAGGCGGCTGAGACGCGGGCACCCGTCGGCAGGCGCCCAGGCGGTGCCGTTCCTGCGTGGAACAGCGTTCCAGCGTCTGCACTGCAGGTCGGTCGTGAACGTCTGCTCGCCCTCACCTGGGTGCCCTGCTCATCTCGGATCCCGTAAAGTGCAACCGCGTCCCGTGGGGCCTCTGGCGGATTTGCTGTGTGCTGGGGCGGGGGGAGGGGCTCGGGTGGGCACACGGAGCGGCCCCCCTGCCAGGGGGACTCAAACAGGAGAAAGTGCCCGCCAGCCGATGGATGCCTTTTCCGAAATAAGAGTCCAGCCGGAGGAGCTTCAGAAACCTCCTGCTGTCCTTTGTCCTTTACTGAAATAAGCGTAATTTGCACATTTCTAGCCTGCACAGCGAGGTGGAAACCGTACAGGGCTGGCTCTGCTGACACGGCCCGCTAAGTGTGTCATCCACGTTTTCAAGGCGCCCTGCTAGGAGGACAAGATTAGGGGGCCCCCCGGGCCGCTCCCCTTGGAAGCCAGGGCCCTCCTGGCGCGCCAAGGTGGAGCGTGACCCTGTGTCGGTGGCAGGCTTTCTGGGCTCTGCAACGTGCACATTACCCTTCGTTAAAAATCGCTGAGGAAGTGAATTCCGAGTGCCCTCTCTCCCCTGTCTCCACTTCAAAGGGCTGTGTGAGATCTTCATTAAAATTAATCAGAATCACGTGCCTGCCGTGCTCTGCTCCCGCTCCTTCGTTCCTCCTGTGTGTCTAGAGGACAGACACGCTCTTGCACGCTTCTCATTAGTGGGACGGGACGAGGGAGGGACATCACGTCAGCTCCCGGCTCCCTGGGGAGCCTCCGCCAGCTCTTCAAACTTACGGGGACGGGATCCAAGTGCGTCTGGTGCATTTCCAATCACCTCCTACATCCGAGGCAGGGAAATTTGTTTGCTTTTTGCAAAAAGCTTCTTGTCGTTTGGAGGGCAAGAAAACCTTCCCGGAAGCAGGCAAAAAGGCCATCGGTGCTCCCGTGAGAGCCTCCGGGCTTATTACCACACTATTTCTCCGCCCAAGAAACGTCCGCGAGTGAAAACAAGTCAGCTACACAAACCGCCCGGGATCGCTATGGAGAATGTGCTGACCATCTCGGGGGAGTTTAATGGTTCTTACCTTTGTGTCTCCAACACACCCAAGACACAGAACGTTCCTCTTGGGAACGGTAGCCACCCCAGGGGTAGGTCAGTGCACAGGGGCTGTGGCAGGGGGCGAGTGTGCAGGGGGGCCTCCTGGGTGCCCTGGTGGTCTGGGTTCAAGCCCAGCCAGTGCTTACCAGCTTCACAACCTCGAGAGGTGTGAGGATAAAAGATACGTTTGTGTTCGTGCACTTGTGCACACACACGGGTGTATGGGTTGTGCGTATGCTTCTACGTGTGTACGTATGTTGGAATAGGCATGTGTATGTTGGCACGTATGTGTGTGCACACAAGGACACGCGTTTACACCTGCATTTATGTTGGCACGTATGGGTGCGTGCTTGCATGAGTGTGTCGTATGTGTATATGTGCACACGCGTGTGCACACACACATACTTGCACACTTGCGTATATGCACGTGTGTGCCTATGTTTGTGTGTGCATCGCCCAGCACCGGCAAAGGATGGCTCTGCTCATTTTGCCCAGTGAAAGCAGGTCTGCAGCGGGTGGGAGCCGTGCATGGAGGTGTGGAGTCTCTGACCCGCACTCAGGCCTGGCGGTCCCCAGGGCCGGCCCTTCCCCACACCGGCCCTCCTGTAAGGTTGTTGCGGCGTGTGGCACGACCGGGTTTTGCCACGTCTCAGGGCCTGTGGAGGGGGGCCTGGTGGAAGAGGACATTGTTGAGGGCAAAAGGGACAGTCTGGCGATAGGTAAGGCGGGGCCAACTGGCAGCTGTCCCGGGTCCCCATGGCCAGGTGTCCTCAGCCTCGGCCGAGGCAGCCCGGGGCGGGGGGTAGTGTTTGTCTTCCCATAAGTCCGTAGCATACTTTCAGCCCCGCTCGTGGCAGTGTAGCCTTCCGGGTGTGACTGGCTCCACGGGGAGCCTCTCTGGTGCTGGAAGACCGGCCCCTGCTCCTCAGCCGAGGTGTGGGCTGGAGAAGGAGACCTCAGTCTGAACGGAACGTACGTTACCATGTGCTCAGCGACCCAGGGTCCCCTTTACAGAGAGGACCCAGAGGCTCAGAGAGGACCGTAACTTGTCCCAGCTCGCATGGGCAAAGGACTGCGATCGGGGTCTCATGTGCTGGGTCCGTGCTCCAGGCCACTGAACAACAGGCGTGCCTAGCTCGCTGTGTGACTCGAGGTGGGTGGCTTTGCCTCTCTGAATCCCAGTTTCGCTGGGGGCAGAGAAAGCGTACTGGACTGTTAGCGCTGCCGTGACAAATACCACGGGCCCGGGGCTGTAAACAACAGCTGTTTATTCTCCCGCGGCTCCGGAGGCTGATGTCTGAGACCCGGGTGCCAGCGTGCCGAGGGCCCCATGACCACCTCTGTCACCCTGCTCCGTGAGCTGCGCGATGTCCCTCCTGGCACCCATTTTCCCCAGAGCCCCCAAGGCACGGTCCCACACTTCTCCAAGGGCAGGGGCCGGGGGGCACGTGACAGCAGCGACCTTGAATCAGCGTTAACGTTGGCCGTGCCATTCGGAGCTGGGCCAAGAGCCAAATGCTCTCAAGTTACTGCCGGGTTTTAAGTTACCCAGAAGGCAGGATGTGTGCGGACCCTCAGGGCGCGTTTTCCGCTGATGAAATCAATCAGTAATTAATCGTTCTGTGGAGGTGGGGAAAACACTTCGCGGCCACGCACCTGCAGGCAGGCACTCTCCTCTGGCTCTCCCCACCTCTTCCCTGTGCGGGAGGGAGGCGAGCCGTCTGGATGGGGGCAGAGGGCCAGGTGTTGTTTTCAGTTTCTCTGTGCGGGGCGGGGGGGGGGGGGGTAGGGCTCAGGGAGAATCCCCTCCCACATTTCGGGGTGGGATCTTCCCAGCGGCCAGCAGGCTCTTCAGTCACGTGATGGGGCCGCACTCACGTCCAGTCTGTGCTCTACTGTGGCTCCCAGTCTCCTCTGTCGTGTTCGGGCTTTTGAACAGGAAGGCGCACTCCATCATCCTCTGGGATCTGGCGGCCCTGCCCCTGTGTCGGGGGATTTGGCGGGGGCCCAGCCGGTTAGCGCAGGCGCAAGCCTCCGGGTCTCTCTGGGCCTTTGCCTTCCCATCTGGAGACAGGGTTCGGTCGGGCGGTCTCCACCGAGACGTCCTGCTCTGGACGCTGCCTTGGTGGGAGTGCCGTTCGAGCTTGTGTGGTCTTTAGTGGGCCTGACCTTCCCCGTGAGGACGAGACACCAAATGTCTCAGCAGACTGCTGTCACGGCTGACCGCTGAGTGAAAACAAGCAAAACCACCTTAGGTGTGGGGGACACTCGACAGTTACAGAGGCACACATGCTGAGGTCATCCTGACACCTGTCCTGCGGCCCAGCCCAGCTTCTCCGGCGCTTGAGATCCCTCCCGGGGCCCCAGGAAGGGGGCCCCGTGGAGAGTTGGGGGACAGCTAGGTTAGCCTTTGGAAGGGAGGCCTGGGGAATGAGGCCGGCAGCGGGCGCACAGGCCGTGTGCAGCACTAACACTGTCGCCTCCCAGGGAACGTTGATGTTTCCGCAGAACGCTCTTTGCAAGAGGCTGAGTGGACACGCCACAGTCACCAGGAATTAATTCCTCCCGGTGCTGGAGGCTGGACGTCCAGATCCGGCTGCCTCTGGTGAGGACCTCGTCCCCGGCGGGGGACGGCGCTCTTTCCCCCACCTGTGTCTCTCCTTCCTACCAGGGCCCCACCCTCGTGCCCTCATCTAAGCCCGGTCACCTCCCAAGGCCCACCTGCAGCCCCTGGTTAGGGGTTAGGGCTTCGGGCTTCAGCAGCGGACACTGGGTGGGGGTGGAGGGGCACACTTCAGTTCCCTGCGGAGGTGATGGTCGGGCTGTGCTGGGACACTCTGCCTGGGGGGGGGGGGGTTCATCACTAGATGAACAAAGACAGAACGGCCGTGCTCAGAGGAAGAGGCGGCCGTTCCAGCGAGAACTGAAACGTCAGGGGCGCGGCCTGGGGGAAGACGAATGTCGGGCGTGTTTCGCCGCGGGCTGCGCGGAGAGTGACGCGGTGTGGGCGGCGCTGTCTGGTGCGGGATCACCGGGCGGGCACGTGCGGGGCTGACTGCTGGCCTGAGACCTGTTCTTGGCCGTCTTCCTTTGCTGCCCTGACGGCTCGCGGTTGGGGTTGATGAAGGTGAGCCTGTCCCGTGGACCCCGTCGGCAGGATGGGCCGGCCTGGTGACCGGAGTGTGGCCGGGCGACTCAGGGTCGTCTGGCTGAGGACGGGAGGCAGGGCTGGCGCCTCAGGGGACAGAGCAGCGCAGATAGCGCTCAGCGGCGCACGGACCGCTGTGCCCCAGGCTGGCGCAGTGGGGGCTGCCCCGCACTAGGGGGCGCTGTCTCCGCACCCACCCTTCTTTGCTGCCCCACTGGGACCCCCACCCCACCCACCCCGGGCCTCATGCTCTCGCCCCGTCCCACCTGTCTCACTGGGCTCTGACCCTGCGGGCCCCCTCCTGCAGTGGGGTCCCCGGGGCCCGTCCCCTTGGGGCGACATCACCAGGCTGCCTGTTGCCAGTAACCGCGGACGCACCGGCCGGGCGCCCTCGAGGCACACTGAGTCACGGCCAGCCTTGCCCCACACCCCAGCTGTGCGGTCCAGGGGACCGCGCCCTTTCCCTGCCCTCCCCCACCTCCGTGTGCCCTGGGGGGTAGGGTCCCCTGCTGCCGTTGTCACCCCTCACATGGGCTGTCCATGACGTTTGGTACTGCTGCTCCCACACCGTCCCGCCGGGGCCTGCTCCCCGACCCTGTGTCTGCGCCCCCTTCCAGCCCCTCTGCGGGCCAAGCACCAATGGCATCCTGTCACTCTCCTCCCTGGCTCCCACCCCCCTCCATCCTTCCTCCACCCTGGTCCATGGGTTCAGGCCCCTCTCAGGGCTTACTCACACCCTCTCTGGTTATTACACCCGTTACAGGTGTCTGATCGCCCCCAGATCTTCCCCGCAGGTCTCAGTCCTGTCGCCCCGTGTCCCTGGCACCAGGCACAGCACGCAGTCCGCAGGACCTGTGGCCTGAGTCGCCTCTGTGGTGGCTGGGCCAGCCTGGCCTCGGTTTCTGTGGCGTCCCCCGCCTCCCGTGGGGTCTCAGATCTGCGGTCACAGCTCGGTCCTGGCCCTGCCATACCCCGGGCGCTTGACCCGGACAAGCCAATCAGGTCCTCTGCGTCTCCTCTGTGTCGTGAGTCACTCGTGTAAGAGAACGGGCGTGAGTGTGCTTCCTGTGTGAGCCTCAGCCAGCTGTGTGTGTGACGGGTGTGTTTCCGTTTGAGCTGCAGCTCTTCTGAAGCCTCTGGTCTCAGTCCCGAACTTAGGGAATATCGCAAAACTAAGAGCTCTTGGCTGGGAAGTCCTCAGGTTAAAGGAGAGGGTGGGCGTCAGGACAGCAGGACAAAGCCTCATCTGCATCACACACAGTCCTTCCGACCACGTCTCTCCTGCCGAGCTGCTTATGCTGAGTTTCATGTAGTTTCAGATTCTTAAATTAAAGCCGATCTTGTGTTTTTTCTACTGAATGTTCTGCATGTTTGTTTGATGCTGGCCGGCTTGGCTTGCGGTCTGTGGCGATCACCAGCGGACAGGCAGGTATGGCTGCTGACAGTTTCAGGACACTTTCTGGGAGAAAGTCTGAGTGTTGAGAAAATCCCCCCGCTGACGTGATTGGTTCCGTGAATGGGTGAGGAGGGCCGTTCTTGGTCTTAGTGAGCTGGTCGGCGAGGACGGTCGCATGGGGACTGTTACGAGGACGTCACTGGGGTCATGGCGTGAGGACCAGTCACCGGGCCAGCCTGCGGTGATGGGAAGTATGGAGGAGGTGAGGGGCAGCACTGGTGACCCCCCCAAGCTCCGGTGATGGGACTGCAGGTGGTGTGCAAGCCGGCCTTGCTGGAAGACTAGTGACCCTAGGAGCATTCCCAGGATCCGCCTCGCCCTCTTCCTTCTCCCTTCCTTCCCCCCCACCAGCGGGTGGTGGAGGGTGACCCGTGTGCCCCTTTGCAGAAGTGTGGTCTGCTCAACTTGGTCTGGGGCCAGGTGCAGGAAGACGGGCTGGGACGGAGGACAGACAACCTTGTCCATGGACGTAACCGGAGGGGCCTCGACTGAGTTCAGGATTAGGGATGCACCGCGGGCCCCCTTCGTTCCATAGTGTGTGTGAGTTTTAGGCGAGGTGTGTCTTCCTCTGGAAAACACATCAACAGTGACCCGTGAAGAACCTTCCAGGGTCTGTCACACACGTGACCTTGAAGAGACTAAGAGGACAGATGGACGTTTTCCGTCTCCTCTTGTGCGTGTGTGCGTGTGCGTGTGCGATGTTGAACAGGAGGCAGGCCGGATCACCCACGCACCAACCAACTTTGATCTTGTTGTTTTCTACAGGAGACATGGGTGACAAAGGACAGAAGGGCAGTGTGGGTCGCCATGGAAAAATTGGTCCCATTGGTTCTAAAGGTATTTGCGACGCGCTTCTTGCCCTATTCCTTCCCGGGCTCAGGGTGCGGGAGCTCGAGGATGGTTGCAGACTGGCCAGTCCCGCCTGGCGGCTGTGCTTCTGTGTGCTTTCTACGCGATGCTGTGGTCTCAGGGTTTGCAGCGGGCAGTGGTGGTCAGACTCACCTGCTGGCTGTGCGCCCACCAGGGCGGGGCGAGGGCTCCTGTCCTGGAGGGCGCGCAGGGCACCCGGGAGGGGGATCCGGGGCTGGTGTGCTTGGCAGGACGGTCACTACCACTTCCGTAACCAGTTTAACGAGACGCCGGAGCCCCGTTTCACTGATGGAAGGATGGTATTCCGGAAACGCTGTCTGTCCACCTCCAGCTCTGGTGATTTTTTGAAACTGTGGGGTGTCTCTGAGTGCGAACGGGGCCCAGGAAGGCAACAGCCAGTCAGGGCAGCCCTCTAGTGACGAGACGCCTGCACTTGCCTGGGTCCGTGTCGAGACCTCCTCTGACCGTACGGCCCTGCAGGGGCGGGCAGGTCAGGATGTGGCCTCGAGCCACACAGCCCCTCTGTCTCTCTCGCCGCCCAGTCAGCAAACCCTCCCTGGGCCCCTGGTGTGCCCTGTGCTCTCAGTAAGCGAGGCCACGGGGGTCTCCCCACCTCCCCCAAGGGTGCTAATGAGGCGGCCGAGGCTGGGGACAGCCAGGGCTTGGCAACGTGAGGGTGGGGCGCAGGGGGCGGGTCCGTGTGGTCTGCCCAACTCTGGTGCTGGGTTTCTTCTGCCTCAGTAACCTGCCTCGGGGGTTTGGGCTGCGAGTGGGTTCGGGTGGTTTGTTCTGATCGGTGGTCACGCACCTCCCCCGGCCTCAGCCCGTCCCCGGCAGGTTCTCGGCCAGGAGTGTGACGGCCGCTGTGGCCAGCTCAGCGGAGCTCAGGTGCTCCGGGGAGCACCTGTTCAGGATGGCCCACTCCTTATGTAAAGAGCACATAGATAGATACGCGTGGCACAGAGAGAGACGTGTGCTTTGCAAAGGCTCTGAAAAATCGCGGTAAAGCATTCCTAGTATAAGATCTGCCACGTGAGCGATTTTCAGGCGTACAAGTCAGTGGGATGAAGTACCTTTGTGATGTACCACCTTCACCACCGTTTGCAAAATGTTCTCATGGCCCCGGAGAGAAACTCGGTCATCGTGAGGCAGCGTCCCCCGGTCCCCTCCCTCAGCCGTGGTCACCACTACTCTTGGGGTCCATGACTTTGTGTGCTCTAGGTTCTAGGTCATTCACGTAAATGGAATCCTACTAGATTTGTCATCTGTGTCTGACTTATGTCACAGAGTGTAGCGTGTTCTAGGCTCCTCTGTGTTGTAGCTAGGTCAGCATTTCCTTCCTTTTTAAGGCTGAATCATGGCCACACCGCATCTTACTTATTCACGTGTCTGTCGGCAGAGATTCGGGCTGTTTCCACCCGTCAGGTCCTGGTAGGTGCTGCGCAGAGCGCCATGGATGTTGGCATACGAGTAGGGATGTGTCTGCTTTTCACGTACAGCGTGTGCTCTGAATAAATGTCTGTGTCTCACCGCAGGACAGCTTGCCAGCAAGCCCCTCGTGCAGCTTAGTTTATGTGCTCGTCAGGCTGACCTGTCTGTCATTCCTGAGCCCTGATGCTGGTGAGAGTCACAGGGGTCTTCTGGACGGACCTGGCGCGCTCTCCCCCCTCCCCCCCCCCTTGACAGAATGTGCTGAGACTGCACAGAGGGAGGGGACACTGGTCCTCCACCGCCCACGCCAGCTGGATGTTTAGGCTCTCCGGGAGGAGAAGGCGCTGTAGGAGTGCTCACGCGCCTTCGTACATTCGTTGTGTATTTTATTGTTTTATTTTATATTTATTTTATCTATTTTATTTTTTTAAAGTTTATTCATCTTAGGGTAGCCAGGAAGCTTGGTGGCCATGGTGGTGTCCAACCCCTTTCCTTTTTAAACAACATTTTTTTTTTAACATTTATTTTTGAGAGAGCAAGACAGAGCACGAGTGGAGCAGGGGCAGAGAGAGAGAGAGAGAGGGAGACACAGAATCTGAAGCAGGCTCCAGGCTCTGAGCTGTCAGCACAGAGCCCGACACAGGGCTTGAACTCACAGACTGTGAGATCATGACCTAAGCTGAAGTCGGACACCTAACCGACTGAGCTACCCAGGCGCCCCTCACCCCCCGCCTTTCCTTTATAAGCCGCGGGGCAAGGTTGGGCAGGAGGGCTGCATGGCACATCCTGTCTCCAGGAGGCAGCGTGACAGGCCAGGTGGGGGCCCTGGTGCCCTTGGAGAGGGCTCAGGAAGGACTCTCTACTCCATTGGGGTGAGACTGTCCCCAGGTCCACCCCAGTGCCCACGTGACACGTTCTCCCTGAGTTTCCCTGCCATCATGAGGGCACAGGTAGGAGTCAGGGTTAGTTGTTACTGACCCAGGGGGTTAAAGGTTCATGACGTGAACCTACAAATTGTTCTATGAGACATCTGGGGTTTTTGGAGTCGATTTAAAGAAGGATCGTCTGGCAGTCTCTAAAATCTAGTGATAGGCCTGTGTCCCATGTCACATCGAGAGAGCCTGAAGAATTAGAGATCTATAGAATACAACTCTCTGTATTCACAGCAAAAAGAGGGTCCAGGGGAAACTCCTAGGATGTTACCATGGAAGAAACAACACTGTTATCCAGGGGAAGATCCTAGGACACGACACACGGAACGTTGTTAACCCTGATAATTCTGAACTTGAGTGACGTGTCCCAGCTCCACTTGGTGATTTTGACTTTGCTTGCCTTTTTCAGGTGAAAAAGGAGATTCTGGTGACATAGGGCCCCCCGGCCCTAATGGAGAACCAGGTATGGCACAGAGGGCCCAAGGGTTTGTAAAAAAAAAAAAATGTATTAAAACTTGCACTTTCTCCCAATCTCACTGAAAAATAATGACATACCTCCCTGGAGAAGGTTAAGACGTACAGCACGACGGTTTGATTCACAGATACCGCAAAGCGGCCACAATGGGTTCCACTAACATCCGTCTTCTCGTGTAGACACAATAAAAAGAAAAGACGGAAGAAAGCAGGACTTGCGAGGAGAGCTCTGGGGACTGGGTCTCTCGGCAGCCTCCCGTGTGCTACAGAGCAGTGTTAACTTTGTGTATCGGATCCCTGGTGGGCATCTATCTTAGCCGGGGTGGGGGTGGGGCGTCTGCACCGTCTGACCCCCGGCCTCCAGCTCCCCTCCCCCACCACACATGTGAGTGAGGTCCTGCAGGATTTGTCGTTCTCTGCCTGGCTCACCTCACGCGGCAAGAATGCCTTCAGGTCCATCCATGGACAAGGGAGGGGCAGGGAGAGAGGGAAAGGCAGGGAATCCCAAGCGGGCGCGCTCCTGGGCCCTCATTTCCTCGGATGCTCTGGCTTCTCTGCTTCCGCACGGTCGCCGTCCCCAACCCCACGGTCTGAGTTGCTGCCACAAGGCCACCCTCCACCCACCTCCCCTCTTCCTTCCACGGCAACAGAGCCCGATTTTAAAACAGGTGGGTCTCTGGGGCACCTGGGTGGCTCCGTCGGTTATGCCTCTGACTCTTGGTTCCGGCTCGGGTCATAGTCTCACGGTATGTGAGTGTGGGCTCCACACAGACAGCATGGAGCCTGCTTGGGATTCTCTCTCTCTCTCTCTCTCTCTCTCTCTCTCTGTCGTCCTCCGCCCCTCCCCCACTCATGCGCTATCTTAATAAATAAACTTTAAGGTACAAATAAAATAAAACAGGTTGGGCTTGGTCCTGTCCTGCTGAAGTTCCCGCACCCCTCCCCTCGCCTTGGGGACAGAGCCCGCAATCTGGGTGTTCCGGCCTCCAAGGCCCGGCTTGCTCCTCGCCGAATGCGCTTTGTATCGGGGGGGGGGGGGGGGGCGGCTACCCCGGGCACGGTCCCGTCCGGTCTCACTAACACAGGGGCCGGCGTCCGCAGGCATCCCGTGTGAGTGCAGCCAGCTGAGGAAGGCCATCGGGGAGACGGACAACCAGGTCAGCCAGCTGACGGCGGAGCTGAAATTCATAAAAAATGGTACGCGCAACCCCAGCCCAGGGGGGCGGGGCGGAGGGAGTACGGAGGGACTCGGGCGGCCGTGTCCCCACGTCCGCGTCCCGCGGGTGTGCGCGTGCGGCGCCCCGAGTGTGCTTACAGAACGCGAGCGCTCACTTTCCAGCACTGCCCCCCCCCCGCAGCTGTCGCCGGCGTGCGCGAGACCGACAGCAAGATCTACCTGCTGGTGAAGGAGGAGAAGCGCTACGTGGACGCGCAGCTGTCGTGCCAGGGCCGCGGGGGCACGCTGGGCATGCCCAAGGACGAGGCCGCCAATGGGCTGATGGCCGCCTACATCGCGCAGGCCGGCCTGGCCCGCGTCTTCATCGGCATCAACGACCTGGAGAGGGAGGGCACGTTCGTGTACTCGGACCGCTCGCCCATGCAGACCTTCAACAAGTGGCGCAGCGGCGAGCCCAACAACGCGTACGACGAGGAGGACTGCGTGGAGATGGTGGCCTCGGGCGGCTGGAACGACGTGGCCTGCCACGTCACCATGCACTTCCTGTGCGAGTTCGACAAGGAGCACGTGTGAGCGCGCCGCGCACGTGGCCCCAGCGGAGCAGTGCGCACGCGCGCGGGCCCCCAGGCACCTGCCGCCTGCGCGGGGCGGGGCGGGGCCCCACTGGGGGGCGGGGCGACGGCGGCCTCTGAACCGCCCGGGAGGAAAGAGGTTTCCGGGAGTTATTTCTCAAGTGAGGTTTTATCACTTGTATTGTAGCCAAGTCTCATTATGGAATCATTACTCAGAATTGCTCTTGCCTTTGTCCTGACTATAAAATAAAAGCTTAAACATGATAATCGTCAAGTACCAACAATGGTAGTGGGCTCTTGAATCACTGTCTTCCTTTGAATTTCTGTCTGGAAAAGAACCCACGTGACTCCAGCCAATAGTTCTGTAAGTGACGATAAAATCTATGTTCCTTTCCACTACTGTCCAAGCAGGGACATTTTGCTTGCTGCAAACGCAGGTTTCGGGGAAAGGAAAAGTTCTCTAGACCTGACAGGTGAGTGCCTGGTGTTACTGTGTTGCCTTGGTTTCTCCAGGAGCTTCAGGTGTTACTGCCCAAACTTACCCCGAACCTAGTGTCTTGCGAAAACAAATATTAAGTGTCTCACGCTTCCCGTGGATGAGGACTTTTTTGGGGGGTTTAGCTAGACCCTCGTGCCTATGGGCAGGATCCGGCTCTTTGTCCCCTGGGCCCCTCTGCTGGGCAGCTCTCAACACAACGGCTGGCTGTGTCAGAGTCGTGAGGAAGGGCCAGAGCAGGACCGTGATGGTCCTTTGTGACCTGGTCTGGGAAGTGATGTGCCGTCCCATCACTATATTCTGTTCACAAGGAGTGAGCCACCATGTCTAGTTCAGCTTGGGGAGGGGATTTCACAGGATGGGGAGGCCAGGTCCACTGGGAGCCATTCCAGAACTTTCTGCTATGATCACCTGTGCTTCTTCTCCGCTCTGTGCGTCAGAATCCCTAGTAAAAAGTAAACCTCTTCCTGTTTCAAGAATACAACACGTGAGCACATACAGAAGACCCAGCAGAGCACATCTGATAGGATGTCAACCCCCGGGCGTGAAGTCAGAACCACTGCCCCTAATTGAATCCCCCGACTTTTCTTTTTTTTTTTTTTTTCAACGTTTATTTATTTTTGGGACAGAGAGAGACAGAGCATGAACGGGGGAGGGGCAGAGAGAGAGGGAGACACAGAATCGGAAACAGGCTCCAGGCTCTGAGCCACCAGCCCAGAGCC